AGGTGTGCCGCCAATTCGTCGAGATCGCTGACTCCATTGTCCGGCGATCGGTCCAGAAGCATCCCTTCTTCCGTGGAATCGGTCGAAAAAGATTCGACACTGACACGGTCTGGGGTCCTTGCAACGGTGGACTCACCAGAGAAACCTTCCGATATTTCGCCTCGTGGCGAAAAACACGGGCGTGGTTCGATAACGACTGTCTCCTCGACAGAATGTTGAGGGGTCGCTAACCGAACTGACGATTGCAGGGCGGGAGGTTTTTTACGACTGCCACTTCCACTGGCAATACGCACCTCTAGCCGCTGACGTCTCCAGCGGCGTAGAGCACTCTTCGTCGGACGTTCTGGTGCATGATCGGGTATTTGCCGCCGATGTAAGTGCTTTAGTGGCACTGAACGTGACGACGGATGGCCGAATTGACAAAGGTTCGACCACTAGCAATCTGTCCGGTTGATGAATTTTGACTCAGACCTGCAACTTCTGGATGTGTCACCGTTGACTGCTAATGCCATTCTATCTGTTCGAGTGACACGGAACGATAGCGAACCACGCATACAGTCAATCATTGTCACCTTCGTCATCGACACTCGGGCTGAGGCTTATATTACAAATTATTATACAGAGATACATACCCTGAAGAGCTTTTGTTTTAATAAAAGCGAAACCGGTTGGTAATCAATCTTTAGAATCAAACAAACGCTCAATTCTCCATTGCGTGTCATTAGTGCTTTTATAGCCAGTCTCTTTCTAGAAGATTAGGTGTGTTGTAGATACGACCTCCTCCTCTTTTATTTTTCCGAGCTTTCCCTCTCACTGTGTATCAGTATCGTCCGAAAAATTACGGTTTTTTGAATCGATAGGACGATGAAAATGGTGAAGAAACCTAATACTTCATTTGAATTGTCGGGCGCGATGCCATTAAACAAACTAAGATGTGAGGGTCTCGAAAATTCAAGTAAAGCTAAACTTTCGGCTCGTAACAAAACTTTTCAGAAGCGGAAGATTCACCCTCCTCTCTCAGCCGTCTGAAATCGCTTTTTCGATCAAGAGTTAGAGAAAGAATATTCTAAGTCAGCATAATTTGAATTTCGAAATCGTTTGTATATTTTAACGTTGTGTTCTGTCATGTTTTTAGTATAATATCAATGACGCACCATTTGGTGTTGTTGGGTAGTAACTCCATAGATAACGGAAAGTACGTTTCTCCAGCTGGTCCTGCCATAATTGAACAATTACAAGGAAGAATTAAAGATAAAGGTACTTTTTCTTCGATGAGTTAAAACTAAGATATGCGCGAACACACGTTTTATAAAAAGGACGCAAAAGCTTAGGAATCAAGAACACTGACTTAGATACTTTTTGGTACTGAAATCGAGAAATAGAGTTCTCATTTCACAAAATTTTCTCCGATTCCATTTTTCTCTTTGAAACGTTGGATTGCAATCCGAACGCTCATCCTTATCCACTGCTATTTCGAATGAGTACTCCGTAATCCGTGAAGGGCAAACTACGAACGACCACAGCTTTTTTAGTCTATTGTTTACTGGAAAGCCAAATTTTCGTTCTAGGATGGAAAGCAACGCTTTTAGCCAAAGATGGACATTTTATCCAAGATGTAGTGGATCAGCTAAAGAATTTGCCAAGCGACGCTACGCATCTGTTTCTTTCTGTCGGTTCGTTTTTAGGCTTCTTTTAAATCCATCACGAAATGTTTTAAAAATGTTTTTTTGTTTTTTTAAATATGAAAGGCGGCAACAATGCGTTAGGCTGTATGCATCTTCTATTTGATGAGGTAAAAACTGTTGGCGAAGCATTACATAAAATGGAAGCGATGACGTCTAAATTTCAAGAGGTTAGTGGCATCCGTGAATGAAGTCAGGATCTCTTTTGTACGTTATTAATACTTCTGTCAAATTGATATATGTGTCAAATTGCAAAATGAGGGAATATATTTTTAATATTGAAGGATTTGCCCAAGTCTCTGATAATTTTCAGGTAGCCTGCAATTTTTTCACCCATTTTTATTTAGGCTTATAAAGAAATGCTCGATGAAGTAACGGAAAAACATTTACCAACAACAACGTGTACAATTTTCAATCCGGATTTTCCAGATTTAACCAAACAACATTTGGCGACGACAGCTCTTTTTTTCTTCAATGGTGTGATTATGCAGGAATCTTCTAAGGTACTTACATCGGTTTGGCTAGCTCACGATCACTCTTTCTGGTGTTCTGTAAAAGTGTTGAAACGCCCATCATTCGAGTCTCTTTTTTTATGCTGATTCCAAATCGAATGTTGAAAAGTCAAAAAAGAAATTTCGGTGAAATATAAAATTAATTCAATAAAGAATACTCCAGCAGAGATTAAAACTTGACAAAATATAGGCTGTTCGATTTTTCGCGTGGAGTTGTTTAAACTTCGATTTTAGACAAATCGGCTTTTTAATTAAATCAGCTAAGAGAACTGTAGTAGACTTTCCTTAAAAATCATTGGGACTCCCTAAACAAAATTTCTAAGAAGTTCCGTTATCGATTCCACAGGAATTTTGAGGGGATTCATTTAAAACTTCCGTGGGAGTCTACTCTCACCCTCAGTCGGAACTCCGTTGTCGCGACAGAAGTACAAGTGATGAGCAGAATAGGGGCGACACTTTACTAGTTACTCCGCATTACTTTACCAGGAAAAGGAGCGAAGTTAGTTATTTCGTTACTAGTAAAGAGTAACTAACTAATTTCATTACTTCGTTACTTTCATTATTCCTTCAGAAAGTAACGAAAAACTGTTACTTTACTGGTAACGAAATAGCTAAATTAGTTACTTCTTTACTAGTAACGAGTAACTAAGTTCGTTACTAGTTACAAGTAAAGTAAAGTGCCATCCGTAGAGCAAACCAGTACCGTAATTTAAAAATAACCAAGACAAAAAGAACATGGACTGAGGTCGACCATAAAAGTCCTGCCTTGAACTAGCGGAGTAAAGAGGCTTTCTTGTGAAGGTGAATTCTAGACAAAATGGGCAGCGCTTCACCAACTCGAAGCACAACTACACCCAAAGATTGTTGTATACGGTGTAAATTTTTCGAAATATGTCCAAGAAGCCTGAATTATCAGAGCAGCAATCACGCAACCACTCAAAGAGATACCAAGAAGTCAATTTTCTGCGAAGAGAGTATTATAGAAATCTATAATTATCAATAAAACCTTTTATCTAATTTTCGGTTCTTGGTAGATAAAAAACATGTTGTAAAATAACTATTCTCAGAGCCGAAAAGAATGTTAGCTTCGCCATGTTCTTATGAATTTAGAACGTTTTTACTACATGACGATTTTTGGTGAAAAGTGAGGTATTTGTTTGTTTTTCTACCAATTTAAACTCTAAGACACACTTCGTTATAATACTCGTAGAAAATGGACATTTGGCGGAGCTGAAACTGATACCGGTGATCATCGTCAGGTTCGGTAAAACTTTTCACTCCCGTGCTTCTAGCGATGGGTAAGAATTTTTTTTGAAATCAACCAATCAGGATCTTTTTAAAGCTTTCTGCCGTCACAACCATAGAAATTTCATAATTTTACAAGAAAAGCATTAATAAAATAAGTGAAAAGTCAAATTTGTCTTTCCGTTGCTGATCATTTTCGCCGACAAGAAAAAGCTTTTGTAGCGGCTGATAAAACTGCCAGTTTTAAAGGAAAACTTTAGACCGACGCCAGTACTGAGTTCAAAGAATCTTGCTGTAAAATTTTATAACATTCTTGTACGATTCCGTCTTATTTCGCAAGATTCGTATAAGAATTTGTAAGATTTTGTAAGATCTTATAGTAAGCTTTTATCAGATTTTGTAAGATTCTTATATGATTTTTATAAGATTTTATAAAATGAATCCGTTTCCATGATTTTCCGTAAGATTTTATAAGATCGTGCAAGATCTTGATCTGATTTTGTAACCTGGGTACTGCTCTACCAAGTTTTAGGTCGATTTTGCTTATGGATGCCCGATGTTTGAGAGATAAACGTTGGTGGACCTTATATTAATCGTTAATAATTTGTTCTAGCTCGGTATACCTGTGATCGATTACAACATTATTATGAATAAACCAGAAGATTACGCAACCTCAGTTGAACCAAGTGTACTAGGCGGTGATAAACTTACGGATAATATCATTAAGGTGGTCGAAGAACATGATTTCAAAATTAAACGAACTGTAATTTATGCTGGAACAAACTGAGTATTTGAATGCTAGTATTGTTTTATGTAAGAGAACAGTAAATTATCGAGAGGCTTGAACAAATAATTAATTAAATACTATAGTCCACTCATTCAAATCCACGGGAACGATTAACAGTTTTTTACTGATCCTGAAATTCAACGGGATTTTTTTGTTGAAAATCCATGAGTCCGAAACAAAGATAATCGGAAACACTCGTAGTTCCACACTACTCCCTAACTAGCAACAGTTTTGACAATTTCTTTTTATTGCTGAAAATATACTTTAAAGGAAATTGGACTTGTTTCAGTTGTTTCTTCTTCGTATTATGTTTGCCGATTCACGCATGCTTAAAGAGAAAAGCGTGGGATTGCCTGTGGTAGTTACAATGTTAGCCATTAAAACATAAGTAAATAAAATAAAAGATTTTTTTAGAGAATGAAGAGACGCTTTTAAAAGCATATAATACATGTGTTTCGAACTTATTTGACAATAAACGGATCCCCAGTAATCCAGAATACCAGAAATAATAAAAGTTGCCATAACAGTGTTACATTTAATTACAATAAAAATAGACAGACATATAATTACAGAATATATTATCATGATAATAACAGAAATTTAACAACAGCCACAGCCGTAAAAGTTCCTTCTTTCAATAATTTAATCGATGAAGATGGCGATTCAACTTTTATTTTTTCACAAGTCCGTGGTCTCCACTGGCCGCTGTCGAATCGAGAAAACCACTTGGTTTAATCGATGAAAATTTCGAACATTTTACTATTGTTTGGCTTGATTGTAATATAGATCGAACAGATGATTGCTTAAATACACGAACTTTGTTAGAAAATGTAAATCGTTCTGTAAAAACAAACATCGTTCTTATTTAAATTATCTGAATGACGGTGAAATGAAGCATCTCTTATTTTGTTTATAATTTCTTCGTCAAATTCCCAATGACCAGAATAAAGTTTGAATGTAATATCTAATAACTGTTCAACTTTGATTCGATTTTATTTAAAAATTTCCAACAATTGATTGATTGATTAATACTCCACTTTTATTATTAAGCATATATAAATTTTAAACAATCATTGACAAATTATGATCAACGGGTGATTCATCTTTCGAATCAATAACATTATTTACTGATTGAATAAAAGTATAATGTTTCAATTTCATTGGCCATTGTTTTAATTTTAAATTAATTAATACATCAGCGAATTCGTCATTTTTTAAATTACAATCGCATATTTGCAAAAGTCATTTTTCAGTTTCAATCTCTTCTTGATTATTTGTTTCTTCGATTTTTAAAATTATTAACGAAATTATTTGTTTACATTCAATTTGGCGTAAAATTGATCTCCACTTTGGAATTTGTTTATCAGGTTGATCTATAAATTTTTCAAGTTTTATTAATGCTAATTCAGTGATCCATTCATTTTGTGGATAAGCACTTAGAATCCATTTATAAATTAGCAAATTTTCCTTGTTTTCAATTGATTTTAAAATTGACATTGACAATAAAATTATTATCTCATGTTGAATCAACGGATTTTCATTTGCAAATCGTTTCTTTAAACTTTCTAATAAAGTCAAACCGAATGAAATCGATACGATTGCCAACCTTAGAGCTGGTTATACGTTTCTGTTAAAATGATGACGTATCTCGTCGATTGTTTGTTCAATATTTACTTGATGTCTATCATTAATTTCAGTTGTATTGTCATTGTTGTTTTCACGAAATCGAAAATGGTTATCATCAAAATATATTTTGAATTCTTCACTAGTTGTTAACTGATCAATATCGTTGAATATTTGTGAATAGTGAGGACATTTTGCATTTTTATTCTCAATCTGTCTCATCGATAATGTAATAATGGTAGATGAACATTTAGATAAACATTTTCAACACGGGCCAACAATGCAGCATCAAATTTATTAAATGAATGACGATTTTGACCGATTTTCAATTAAACAATATTTTACATATTTATGATTAATATAATTCTCTTCGATACCATTTAATAAATTCTTATTCAATTTATTTAATATCAATTATTTTATTTCATACAAAGCAATCTCATTTTCAATTCCACTTTTTATGTCGTATTTTATTTGCTTGTTAACTTTTTCATATTGATCGGAAGCGCTACTTGTTTCTTGCTGTTCTCGTTCAATTTCTTCAGTGTCGTCTATTAACATTAACATCCAATGTTAACGCTCCAAAATCTTAAACGATAAAATTACAAATAAGAAAAGAAGAAATATTTGACCGAAATATCTCTCAAAATGTTCATTCTTTATATATAAAGTTGTTGCATCTGCAATTGACTCTCTTGAATAAAAAATGTTTACTTTTAAATCTATATAACTAAACAAAAGACACATTTTAGCTAATACAACAATGTAGCAAGTAGCGTGCGTTGCTTGAACTAAGTTTGAACAGGTAGTACAATACATATTTTGATTTAGCTTTGTACCAGTATTTTCCATCTAGTTTCTGTTTCTACTATCAACAACATCTTTATGTGTTTCTTTCTTCTAACTTTGCTTGTCTCTTCTTACACACACACAGCTTCCCGCATGTTGTGTTGCTTCTATTTTCTATACGTAGAGGTAGTTGTCATATGAGAACTTTTTATGTAAAATAATGTAAAACACCTGTAATAATGATTTCTTATGACCTTGAAGAGAAAATTTACGTGCGGATCCGATCAGCTACAAGTAAACATGAAAATGTGGTTACTTGTTAGTTAGACAAAGTGTGACCCGTAAGTCCTGATTGCTCTCGAAAAATTTTTTCTTTCTTATTGACAATCTAAAAATCCTCAAACTTCAACATTTAATTTCTAATAATCAGACGATTATTACTGTTAAATTTCTTATCTCCAGTTCTGTTATTAATGAAGATACAATATCGTTCAACTAGTTTCCTAGTTTTTCTAGCCATTCTGCTTACAATGTTGTAGAATTAAAACACTACCACCAGCGCCGACATTACACGCGCCCTCTACTCTGGAAAATTTTTGGGTTTTCCACTAGAAAGATTTTTTTTCACATATTTTCCATTTTTGATCAAAATTTTGTTTTAAACAGACTTTTTTTAGTCAGAAATCTAGAAAGCGCACGAAAAGATCATTTTCGGGAAACTGGAAAACGTCCCGGCTTGTAAATACTGCTCCCAAAACTCTTTCCAAATATGAACAGACAAAAAAAGACAAGATATAATAAACAGCAAGTAAAGTTAGAAGAACCGTTTAGAATATCCAATAGAACAATAAACATTTACATTTGGTAACAGAGATGAACGCGTAGACGAGCTTTAAAGACTAGTAAAGAAACAACAACAGCATTGGAAGTGTTAGCAGGGTCAGGATTACTAATGACATGCGACGGAAGTTTGTTCCACTCGTCCGCTGTTAGATAGAAGAATGATTGTTATGTCCTAGCAGTTAGACCATGTGCTAGTCCATAAGTGGTTATGTGTGATATAATATAATGTTTCCCTCCCTTTGTTATTTCATATATTTTGTTTTTAGTTAACGCATGTACATATATTCATACATACATTTTATTCTTTTTTCTTTGCTGAAACAGACGGATACTACTGGCCTTCTTGCTTCTCTATTTATAAACCAGTCTGTGAGGCTTTTGTTTTACTCTCTTTCATTTTTTATATTCACTCTGCTTATATAAAATACATATTAAAGATATATCGCCTTCACAAGTTAATATCGCCTTCACAAGTACCCATTGACACAGGTTGGTGACTGCTCTCTCGTAGCAGATTTTGTTTAGCTTCTCCAGAATCCACTAGACGCTGGTCTCGGCTTATTTACAGAGGCGTGGGACTGAACTCATTTCTCATGATTACTAGTCGTTTCAGCATCCCAGAGCTAACAAATGGGGGCCTGACGCCATTCGTATATTACACTACTGAAAAATAAGCTCATTCGTGTGTGCTGTTGTTTTTCTTTTTTTCTCAGTTACCGGTTATTTACATTTATCGTCGATTACTCTGGATTTTAATTAAATTAACCCAGTTATTTAATTAAAATTTGTTTGTTTGGTTATTTAATCCTCAAATTTTTCATCTTCATCTTTACGTTATTAAGATTATACGTTAATTATTTATGTTCAATTCGTTCGTTCGCTCATTAGAGCTGTTTTTTTAAATATTATACAACAGCCGTAAATTAGGAAAAACACCAATAGAACTAGTTTTAACTTTTTATATTTAACAAAACAAAAAGGTATGCTAAGTTTTATATTATTTTGAGAATAAGACTAATTGATCCTGGTAAAAGAAAGAAATCCACAAAAAATTAGCTTAAGACTTGTATCTTTTGTGATTTACTGTAATTTCAACTAGATATAATTTTTTTGTAAAATGTCGTTTTCCCAAAACAGTAATCCCTGAAAAACAGCGGCGTAACCAAGATTTTTAGTCCAATGGGCAAACTTCTATTGTATCGGAAAAAAAACGATGGGCAAAATGGGCAAGGTTTTTGTCGATGGGCCAAAAGATTTTTGGTCCAAAAGAACACAAAAAAATGAAATGAGATCCTTTTAATTTTTGAATTAGATTCTAATTCAAAAATAAACAAACAATTCTGTCTATAGGCACTCTTACATATATCTTTCTAAGGGTTATACAAAAAAAAACCACATGGGTATATCTGCTAAGTAAAATTTCAATGGGCAAAAACTTACTAATAAAAATTACAATGGGCAAATCTCCAAATGAAATGGGCAATTGCCCATTTGCCTCCCCCTGGATACGCCGCTGCTGAAAAAGAAACCGGAAAAGCAGAGGCCTGGACGTTTTTTTTATAAATAACATTCTTTTTATAAGCATTTATTGATTTTCTCTCACCTGTTCTCACATATAATACCACGCAATGCTACATATCGCACGATCCAAATTAAACACCAGAGATCTGACACTCGAAGAATGTATACAATATGGTACAGATGCTGCTAAAGCTGATCATTATCAACACGCAACAAAAAATCGTCTTCTAAAGAAAAATTAGAGGAACAACAATATTCAGTACCTGCAACATCAGAAGGTATTCTTCTACGCAATATATCGTCAACTCTTTCACCCCAAATAAAACAACAATCTCCGATACCAACCGACGCTATCTCTACACATACTCCCGTAATACTACCTTCTACACTCATAAATCGTAATACAACTTCATTAAACATGGAACAATTCAAAACGTTTGAAAAGGATCAACTGGACACAATCCAAATACTTGATCAAACCACAACCGATACAATTTCAGTATGGAACACAACGGATAATAATAAATCGGTTGAAACACAGCAGGTATATTTTTTCACAAATGATATTAAATCGGAAGGAACTATACAGAAACATGCGGATCAACAAAAAAATCAATTTTTGCAATCTATTGGCGCGTTTCCCAAGTTTCATGGGGGAACTGGTGCTGAGTCGTGGTTAACAAATATTCTCAAACAATTCAGAGATCTAGATATCGATCAAGACATTAGATTGTACAATTGACAACAATATTATCAAGCAATTAATCAAAGTGTGCTACAATATCATACACAAGTTTTACAGCTATGTCAAGCTGCAAACCCTGATATGGATGAAAGAACAACAGTACAATCTCTTATGGCAAACTTGTTACCATCTCTTAAAATGAAAGTTATTTCGAAAGATCCTCAAACAAGATCAGTTTTTGCAAATAGCAAGAAAGCTGAAGATCTTCGAGCGTTAGTAAACCAAGACGAAAGGATAAATAATTGTTCAAATGATTCAACAGAAACAACTTCAAATGTTAATTTTTCTTTTGCTCCTTATGTAGTTCCACCACTAAGATATAATAACAACCAAAACAGGTAGTTTTACCTTCCACTCAGCAACAATCAAACACAGATGAGTCTTTAACTCGAAAAAATTCAAATAATGTTTCATCTAATCCACAAAATTATCAATACCATCAACAAATCAAATCGTCGATGAAGTAATTCCAACCCTTGTAAAACTCACCCACGAGGCACCCAACATTTCCAGTAGCGAAAGCATGGGATGGTGATACCTCCGGTAATGTTAACATCAAAAATTCATCACGTATTTTTATTACCTCCTCTGTTAACAACTGTCCCACAAGAATAATGATAGATAAATTCTGTTATTATCCCTCCACTGCAAGAACTTTCAGTTCTGGTGTCGGCCGGAATATCTTCGGCATCGGTACTGTTTAAACGTTCTTTTAATCTCAAACAACAAGTTCCTCTTCTCATGTGTAATTCAATATTAGTGATCGAGCGTCATACACCTTCTGTCCCTCTTTACAATCCTTCACATTGCCCACAATATTTATCAAAAGGCATTATCCTGGGAACAATCCGATTTCCTCCAGACCAAACCGAAAAAGAAGAAAAACATACCCACTCTGATTTAGCTCCATCAATTTTGATAAGCAACATTGGCCTTCGATTTATCCTGTATCACATAATAGTGAATTAAATATTTTAAGATTATTAGCACACATCCAAAATGAAGCACAACATTCAAAATTAAAATCCGTTTTACTTCAACCTTTTGACAATTCAAAACCCACTATCGCAACAACAACCCTGCATCATACTGTGCCAACAATAGAACATCATTCCTGCGCTTCAAAACCTTTCCCTCTCCGCGGTGAAAAAGGACAAGAACTCAAGAAACTTTTAGACGAACTACAACTGTCTGGACATATTCGTCGATCTGATTCACATTATGCCGCACCAGCTATTCTCGTTGAAAAGAAAGACAAAAAATATCGTCTTGCAGTCGATTATAGATAACTTAACTCAGTTACAATCAAAGATCCATTTCCGCTCCCTCGCATGGAAGATACACTTCAAGAACTGGGTCAAGGTTATCGCTACTTTTCAAAACTCGATTTAAAATCTGGTTTCTTCCAGTTTTCCATGGACGAAAAGGACAGACACAAGACTGCCTTTACAACTCCTTTCGGCGTTTTTGAATTTACAGCTCTTCCTCAAGGTCTTAAGAGAGCCTCCACCACAGCAACGCACATACTGTCCACTGGAAAAATTTCTTTTTAATTATTCACATGTCAGTCGAAACAGCATTCAAAATGACTACTAACCCTGCAATAACTTTTGCTGAAAGTGTGTTGTTACGAGACTAGAGATAAAACATTCTGTTGGAGATCACCGATTGATCGGAAAAACGTGAATTTTCACTAATCTTTG